TTTAAAAGCCAACATGGACAGAAAAAAAAAGAAAGAAGCTTGTTTGCCAATATTACTAGTTGTATGGCCCAGAAAGCCTCCAGAGGGTTGCCAGGTGCTCGCCTGCTGCTAGCAGGACGTGAGCCCGCAGGACAGGTCCCTCTGGGGAGAGGCACCCCCCATGCACCCCCCGAGTGGGGTCTGGTGAGGCCAAGCCTCCAAGAAACTTGGTGTTCTCCTGGTATAACGGTAGCAACAAGGACTTCTAAACTATGTCCAAACTGCCACAGCTCTGCCAGACAAAGAGGAACTGAGCTAAAGCGGCGCTCCTGTTGGTGGCATCAGCTGTGTCTTCGCTGGAGAGGCTGTTGGACCGAGCTACACCAAGAAGAGGTGAGCCACAGGGGCTCCAGCTGTGACTGGACATCTCAGTCTATTCAGGATGCTGTCAGCTTTGACTTTTGGTTCTTGCTGTCCACACTGTACACATCAAGCCTTGTTGACATGTTAGCGGTCCTGGGACATTTTGCCAGAAAACAGACATCTCAGAGCCAGGTCCATTCAGTGTCTTTATCCAGATCCGAGCATTCACATTTGACCCTGCCTGGTTCCTCTTTTAGGAGAAAAGAGCAGCAACTGACAAATGAAGAGGTCTGAAAGGTAATTTATTACCTAAAACCCCACTGAAAAAAAGAAGCAGACCCCCACCCTGCCCAAGCAAATCAAAAGCTGTTGCCTGGCAGTTTGATTTTGCTGACATCCCATATGAAAGGTGCAGAAGACATTGGGGCAGTGACCAAACACGCCTAGGCAGTGATGGTTAGAAGAAAATCATATGGACTGTGCCACTGAAAGGACCCAGTTACCGAAATAATTTCCATGGGCATGTTCTCTACCTTCTGCTCTGCTTAAGTATCTTCTGAATGATGTCCACAATCCCAGCCCAGTTTTCAAGTCCATTTTTTCAGCCTCTCCTGCCTTTCCCATCACTGGAGCTACCCCATCAGTAGTACCTGTGCCCACTGCTTTGTGGCAAGTCAGCATGAGCTGCAACCACCTCGTGGAGGGCATGGGGACAGAGAGTGAGGACTTCTCCTCTTTCCTCCTGGTCCCTCTAACTACTGGTCTTCCTTTCTGACATGCCTGTGAAGAGCTTACCCTACTTCTATTGGAGTGGGCTTTCAGCTTCATGGTAGGGAAGACCAGATGAAGGTTGTATAGGATACTGGAGCCAAGAGCATCCTGAAAGGTAATTTATTACCTAAAACCCCACTGAAAAAAAGAAGCAGACCCCCACCCTGCCCAAGCAAATCAAAAGCTGTTGCCTGGCAGTTTGATTTTGCTGACATCCCATATGAAAGGTGCAGAAGACATTGGGGCAGTGACCAAACATGCCTAGGCAGTGATTGTTAGAAGAAAATCAGGTTGTCACAACCACATGGACTGTGACACCGAAAGGACCCAGTTACCGAAATAATTTCCATGGGCATGTTCTCTACCTTCTGCTCTGCTTAAGTATCTTCTGAATGATGTCCACAATCCCAGCCCAGTTTTCAAGTCCATTTTTTCAGCCTCTCCTGCCTTTCCCATCACTGGAGCTACCCCATCAGTAGTACCTGTGCCCACTGCTTTGTGGCAAGTCAGCATGAGCTGCAACCACCTCGTGGAGGGCATGGGGACAGAGAGTGAGGACTTTTCCTCTTTCCTCCTGGTCCCTCTAACTACTGGTCTTCCTTTCTAACATGCCTGTGAAGAGCTTACCCTACTTCTATTGGAGTGGGCTTTCAGCTTCATGGTAGGGAAGACCAGATGAAGGTTGTATAGGATACTGGAGCCAAGAGCATGAGCCTGGGAAGACTTTCATGGAGAACATGGTGAGGTAATAGTGAGCATTAGGGCCCAGCCTGGAAGAAGACAGTACCAAACCAAGCAGGGTTTGGCTCTGTTTGAAGCCAAGCCACACCTGCTGGTTGCCTGCGGCACTGGTTTTTGGGAGCTGCTGCCTTTGCCACAGGCTGTGTCACTGCCTTCACAGGGGAGAGAAGTTCTTCCCCAAGAGGTGGTGTTGCTCTGAAACCATGGGGGGTGGGGTGAGGTCCCTTCAGGAGGTTCCTTCAGCTCCTTTCTGCCTCTAGGTCCCCCTCCTTCCCCTGGGGAGGTGGGTCCTTCTGTGTTGCCCCACTCACTGGTCCAGTTGGGCGAGTGGCTCTCCTCCCAGGGGCACCACCAAACTCCTCCCCGGCTTCTGCCCAGCGGGGGACTTTGTAGTGCAGGTGACCACGCTGGTTTATCATGGCCTTGGGCACTTTGCAAGACAGGTCCCGGACACCTTTCAGAAGCAGCTGAAATCAAGGAGACCAAGTGCAAAGTACTCAGCCAGTGAGACCCCCAAAAAGCACACAGACACCCACTACCCCCCATGCCAGCACCCCGTGCCATGTTTTCTACCAGATCTTCAGATTAACACTCTTAGAAGACATGTCAATACCCTCTAGGTCTGCTACCTTTTTTTCATTTTCTGACTCCACCTCAGGCTATGAAAAACTGAACACCAACATCCAGACATGAGTGAGGAGTGCATGACATCCTCCTCGACTGGACCCAGAGCTGCCCAGCAGGGTCCCAAGCTCCATACAGCCCATGTCATCAGTGTCTCTCCCTTTGCTTAATCAGTGAGGGCCTGAGGGCAGATAAGAGGGACAGTGACTCGTAGCGCTGCAGCTCTGAAACATGGAATGATTCAGAAGCAAGGCATGAGCCCAAAACCACCATGCAGAGGCTGCTGCAGAGTATTTGTCATATCGAGGATGTTCTTGGGATTCCGTCAGGGCAGACGTGCTCAAAACCCCTTTTTCTTTTTTGCTTTAAGTTTTCCGAGTTTATTTCCTACTTCAAACTGCATTCCTTGTGCAGAGAGATGTCTGTCCCTGCAGTTTGCAAGCACAGAAAAGTGTTTCATGCAAACTGAAAATGTAATAATGACTACCAAGTCAAAGAGACCCTAGTCAGGCCCTTAGTTCCCTCCAGTCTGCACCTCATGGGGAAGGGACTGGTCCTGAGGCAGTGGAATCATGCTGTGGTGTGGCACTGAATGGTCTGCCCATGACGGCTCAGGAGAAGTTGCAGTGATTTTCAGGTTCACCCACAGGCCAGTCCTGCATTTCCTTTTGGTTTCCCATGCAGGAATCTCAGAAGGCTCCCAAGTTGCCCCTGCTTTACAGAGAGAGAAGATGGGCCTAATAACCTGCCACAAGGCACAGAGCAGCAGTAGAAATGCTGGTGGAAACGATGTTCTACATCCTCTTAAACTGGTCTAAATCCCATTTTCTATGGTCTTGCTCACCCCTGCCTGTCCTGTTCTTCTCCCTGCTGATACTTGAACACTCTCATGCAAGTAGGGTCTCGTCCCTGGCCTGTTGGGTGCTGGCACAAGCTTGGGAAGAAGACAGTGACAAGCACCTGTGGGGCAATGAGGTGCAGACGGGCAGGGACAGTCCTGGTTAAATCATTTGACACTTCTGTGGATCTGCACTCTCAGCTCTGACCTTCTGACACGACACACACGCATGTCCTGGTGCCAAGGCAGGGCTGGTTCTAGCAAGAAATATTTGAATTTATTCTGGGACTTCTGTCTGTGAATTGAGAAATACAGACACCAGCTGGAGACTCGTAACCTCTTTTGAGATGAAAATAATAAAATATTCCTAAACATAGGCAGAGCAAAACCTTCTGAGGGGAAGGGACTGGAACAAGTCCACCGAGTAGACCAACCTGCAGGCCCACCAGCTGGATTCTGTAGCTCTCTCACTTGCCTCTAGTTATTTAATGGTCAGCTCTGCAGGTTCCCCTTAGGTGGGCTGTATGTCAGCCAACATCAGCTAATGCTGCCTTAAAGGAAACTCTTCATCATCTTTATTCTAATCAGCCTGTGACAGCCTGGCAAAGGCCACAGCCAAGACTAAGCAAATGAAAGGATGTGGCTTTGAGAGGCCATGGGGGAGCAAATCTGTTAGCTGTGGACCTCACCTGCACTAAATCTTTTCCTGCCTCCATAGTGAAAATGGCTCTGTTGATGGTCCCTCTGTAGACCAGACAGCTGAGATTTTGGAGTCTGCTCTGCAAAATGAGATCTGGTCTCATGAGATGTGACTTGTCTGGCGTTTCTGAGTCTGCTCTGGTGCAGACATGGGGAAGATGGGCCAGATGCATTTTCAGCTGGCTCCCTCAAATGCCTGCATGAAGGGAATTCCTTCTCAGTTTCAAAAAAAAAAAGTAGGTTCTAGCCCCCAGGTCTGATCCTTATCTGGGTTTCCCCCTTGCTCCATCTTTGACACCTGCACCAAGGGTGTGGGAAGTGCTGCCAGGTTGGGTGGGGATGTGTGTGCTTGGGTCTCATGGGGGTGTCAATGTGACACAAGCAATGAAGCAAAGATCTCAGAAGCCTCACCATAACCTGGAGCCAGCTTGGGTTTTCCTGATGTGGTACAGAGCAGCTCAGCAGCAGATCTACCTCCTGCCTACTCCCATGTGGTGGACATTGGTTGGGACTCGTTCTCCCAGTGCAGTGACCAGCTCTCTTCCACAGGACACCTGCGCTCACGGGATTAGCTTGTGACAGGACAATTTGACCTGAGCTTGAAGAAGCAAGAGGGAGGAGGTTTCCTGGGGCTCCACATCAGACCCCTGCTCAGGTGTGACTGAGGAACCTGCAGAATGGGAAGAATTCAGAGGGGACATATTTTACCCCTGATGCCATGTGTGGCTCCCCCCACCTCTTCCCTCCCTTCCCCCCCCCACCCTTGCTCTGTCCCCACCCCACCAATCAGCCTCTTTAACATGACAAAGAGCCTCCAGGAGGGGACTAGGGTGAATATTGCAGTCCCAGGCAGGGTATAGCCAGCTATAAAGGTAACCGCCTGCCTACACTTGGGAGCTACTTCAGCTTGCTGGTGATACCTAACCCCTCAAGTGAAGGTGGCATCTACCAGAAGGTGGGGGAACCACCCCTTCGTCTGCCTCCCATGTGTGCCCACTTGGCTCTGCCCCCCTACCAGGCTTACCCCAGCGGGACTGGCATGGGGTACGTGGAGTTCTACTGGAACTCGGCGGGGGAGGCAGGACATGCCCCCACATCCACTGGGCCAGCAGGAGCCACCAGTGCCAGTCAGTCTCCGGAGGTGGGAGGGAAGAGGCAGATGACAGGTAAGGCGTTTCGGCCATGTCCCAGAGCTGGGGGTCACCCAGGATCTCAGGTCAGCCATTTGCTTCATGACCTTGAGCAAATATTTCTCTCCTCCTTGCCTTGGTTTCCTAACGCGTGGGCTGGGAAAAATCTGCTGGGGAAGGTGAAGAGGATGGGTGACCTCGGGCAGTCACACCACCTTGCCATGCTACTTGTCTTTGGTGGCTGAGAACAGGTTTCCCAAACCTCAGAAGAGGCTGTGAGAGCCTTTGGTGGCTGAGAACAGGTTTCCCAAACCTGTGAGAGCTGAGGCACTGCCAGGGCTGAAGGGGCACTGTGACAACATGGTCTTATGGGAGTTCGTGGTTCTCGGGACAGGAATGTCTGAGCCTCCTTTCAGTCAAATGCTGTCATGTGTGCTATGGGGAGAAATAAATCCTGAAGGTAATTCTGCTTGTGGCATCCCTTATCCCCTTACAAACTCCTCGCACCCTTCACGTGCTCGTTAAACTTGAGCCAAGGTATGCTCTGAATCGCTGTGCTGGGAAATCAGCTCCCTTTAAATTCCGAGTTGCTATTCTCTGCTTCTTTTACTTTGCTGTTTTCATTTCTCTGTTTCCCTCCCCTTTCCATGCTCTTGTTGCCTTGCCTTTCACCGTTTGCAAAAAAGTCCCAGGCCCCACCATGGTGGCATTTTCTGTTCCTGCCGTTCCTCTCCCACTCCAGTGAGTGGCAATAGGACAACTGATGAAAACAGGTTTTCTCCCAGCCCTGTGATGTGGTCAGCAGGGTAACTAAGACTCTTGTAAGGTTAATGGGTGGGAGAAGGGTGAGCTTTTGGAGTTCCAGTTTCAAGCCATCAGATGCTGTAGAGAGCTACAGGCTCGGGCAGAGTGACTGCTGGCTACTGGGCACGTGGCTACTTGCCATGTAGTTTGGAGAAAGGCTTAGGTTCTTCCCCTGCTGCCTGCTCCACAGAGGCAACAGGCAGATTGACTCATTTGTGCCCCCAATGGGCCTTGTGTACAGACTTCAAGCTTATCTTCAAACTCTCTCCTCTGTTGCCTCTCTACAGAGACACCTCAGGCATGGGAGCAAAGACCTACAGATGCCAAGGGCTTGTGGGAGTGGGTCTGTCTTAGGTTTTCATGTTTATGTCTGATGCACTGCTCTTCATGTTTCTGGCTTCCTCTTTAATTCACTGTCTTCTCATTGGTGAGGGAGAACCTTTGTCTTGAGCAGGTGGTAAATTACATGGGGGTTTGGGCCAAGCAGGAACGTGTGCGATCTTCAGCTCTACCAGTGTCTTGCTGTGGTTCCTGTCTAACAGAAGACTTTCCTGTTTTCCAAGCCCACATTCTCAGCATGCTCATTTCCTACCTAATAAGGTTTTTACTGCACAGCCTGCAGGAGCCAAGCATCCTGTGGTCCAACATGAATTTTTAGCTTCCTGGGCATCCAGGTCACCGCAGATGTTCAGCTTCCTCTCAGGCTCTGCAGTCTGTCCCCATGCACATAGCACCTCAGGCCTTTGCACCTCATCTGTTGACAGTCCCTTTCTCCTTTTAGGCAGAATCCCTTTGTAATCCTCACGACCCTGCTCCCCAGCACCAGAAACCTGCTCCACTACACACCTTTCTCTTCACATAGCCTGTGCTCTGGATGGTTGTCATCTCCCAGGGGCAGGAAATAGCCAAGAGCAGGCAACCCTGGAGGAGCAGGCACCACGAAGACAGGCATACCTCTGTCAGGAGGGTAACAAGGGAGAAGATACCACAAACATGGCCGCCTTTCTTAGGCCCAGCAACACCTCAAGGCTTTTGAGTGATTGCTTAGTGGCGTCTCAGCTTAGGACAGAAGAAAGAAGGGTCTGGTAGGGTGGATGGGGAGCCCGTTCCTCAGAGGGGTGTCAGTACTTTGTGTTGGACATACTCGGGAGGTTGAGGAGGGTGTCTCAGTAGGTTTCAGAGTCACAGCTCTTGGGGTGAGTAGGAAGGAGACTGGGAGCTACTGGTTGGGCTCAGTAGTCAGAAGTTGGGTACTGAAAGTGGCACTGCTCAATTCACTGCACCCCCTCTCTTCTGAAATGTCAGTAGGAGGAGAGGGGATGGACCATGCAGAAGGGTTTGCAGAGCAGTAGCTGAAGGAAGGAGTGATGAACAGATTTATCATTGCAGTTATGGGGAAGGGGGCAAACTGCCATCACAGCCCTTCAGTCAGGACTGGCCAGAGAAGGGCTCAGACTCTCACAGACCACAGCAACCAGGCACCTGACAAAAAGATTCTGGGTAATCCCTCTTGTTAGCATTTTCCTATTCAGGCAGCTTGAATGACTTTGCATTTTGGCAGCTTTTGTCTGGACTAGTAGCCCAGATTGTTTAGGAAGTTTTTCCTTTAGATCTTTATCTCAACTTTGTCCTCAACAGAGACCCCTTAAGACATCTGGACAAATGAGAAGGGGCTTGGACACCTTTCTCTGCACTTTTAAATTTTGTCCCCTGTGTCCCTGGTACAGGATTACTGGCTCCTCTCAGCTGTCCCACACATCCACTTTTCCTCCCTACCTCCCCACTTTCATGTCAAATTTCTCTCCTTCATTCTTCTCTCTCCAGAAGCCCCCCTCAGCCAAATAGGTCCCTCCATCTATGGGCACGTTTCCAGCAGCAGGATGGTCTGTGGTGGGAGCCACAGGCAAACAGGAGCAACTCAATATCCAAGGCCTGGCTGATGCTCTCCACCTGCTGCCCCATCACTATAAGGCACCATACATGCTGGTCAGAGGTTGCTTTGCCACTGTCTATCAGGCACCTTAAGACTGCTAGGCAGGCAGTTTTGGGGAGCCTAGTCACTAACCCAAAGCTATGGTTGCAGTCATGACCAGGCCTCTTTACACCTCACTAAGGCCAAAATATTATCAGAGCCTTTTGGAGGAGGACAGTAACACTGTGAGTCAACATGCACCATTCTCCCCTCCCTGCCCTGACTTTCCACCAAGGAGCCATGGGCATCCTGGAGGGCTGAGCTGGGAAGCTGGTTGCTGTCAGTGGGCTTGTCTGTGCTCACAGATCCATGAAGAAAGGGGTGTGACACAAAGACTTTGCTTCAAGAAAGCCCCTGTCTGGTGGGCAAGGAGCTCTACAGCAGGCAGGGAGCATGCTCATAGCAATACAGCTGTGCTTTATGTCTTGTATACCTTCTCCCATTGTCTTTTTTTTTTCTAGAAGTATCCCCAGCATCATCCAGTTCTGGGAATTTCAGCCAATTCACACCAGATTCGGCCACCAGTCCTCATTCAGCATCCTCATCCCCACAGCCCAGGGCAGAGAAGTCTCAGAAGGGCAGAGAATATGGCATGGAGGAGGTTAGGAAGGCCAAGAGCCGAACAGCTTTCTCCAAGGAGCAGCTGCAAACCCTGCACCAGCGGTTCCAGAGCCAGAAGTACCTCAGCCCACAGCAGATCCGGGAGCTGGCTGCTGCCCTGGGGCTCACCTACAAGCAGGTGAACACGGAGTCTTTGACCCATGGTATATGTGTCACACAGCAGCTGAATGGTCACAAAAGGCAGTGACAGGATGGAAAAATGAGTCCCCAGCAGAGAATAGAGGCAAAAGTGCCAGCTAACAGTTGCTCCTCTGCCTAGTCGTGCCCAGAGGTCAGAAGCACTTCTGTGGGACAGGAGAGTCAGTGGCACCTCGCTGTGAGGGGTCAGTTAAGGGTACTGCTGCCAACACTTGCAGTAGAATTGCAAACACGGTGATGAATCTGTTGTTTGCCACAGACAAGCTCTACCCTGGGTGTGACAGCACTTCACAGACTTTTTTGGTGACCTTCACAGAAATCCTGGCATGCATCACTCCTCTGCATCCTGGGGCTGTAAGACGCTGAAAGTTATCACTAAGCTTTCCCAGGGCTGATGATGGTGAATGTCTAACCATGTCCCACACTCAGCGCTTGCCTGGCTGTTTGACACCCTCTCCCCTCTCTGCGTGGGTACCACTAGGTCCGTACATTGCAGCCTTTCAGGGTCTCTGCTAATCTCCAGGTGGGTTGTGTGGAGGGAACTGTTGCTGGCTCAAATGATGCCTTCCTAAAGCAGAGGTGGGGCTGGGCAATGGGGCGAAAGTGCTTGCAATTACAAATCCAAAATCTGCCTGGAATTTGGATCTCAGAGCTGGGCAGGATGGCCTGGGTGCCCCTGGAGTCAAAAAGTCATGTATGAATTGTAAGTGCACCCATAACGCACGCACACACTGAACTGGTTCTGTCTGGAGCAAGGCAGGTGGGACAATGCTCTTTGCCCGAATCCACATCCCTGCAAAGGCTGCTCCCACAGCCCAGACACAGCCCTGGGGGAAAACAGCTTTGGAATTCCCCTTCCCCCCCCCACTTGAATTTGGGAACTGCTTGAATTTGGGAAGAGAGAGGTTGCGAGGAGCAAGCCTCTCTCTTCCCTTCTCCCAGGCACGCAGAGACAGTGTCTTAGAAGCTGGCCTGTAGCACAGGGGGCTTGTAGAGGCCTCGGTGGGTCTAATTTGCACCAGCCGGTCATTTCCATGATTGAAATGAGTCAATTTGTCACAGCTCTGACTGTCCCGTGGATGTAATGCCATTCCCTCCCCCCACCATGCAGATGCAGGAGCCACCTGCTGAGGCTGCCAGACAGACACGGCCCCTTGGCAGCAGCCCCAGGGAGCTCTCAAAGGGCTTTATCTGCTGCTGCCCAGATATATCTATGCCATCTGGTGGCATGTGAATCCGGTAGCATTTGCTCTTCCCTCTCCTTTGCTGAAGTCTTTCTCTGCTCTCTCTTCCCCACGCAGGTGAAGACCTGGTTCCAAAACCGGAGGATGAAGCTGAAGAGGTGCCAGAAGCATAGCCTGTGGATGGAACGGGCTCAGTGCCTCACACAGGTCAGAGCATAGCACAAGGCTCAGCATGGCCCTTCACCTAGGCAGATAAGTCCTGTGATATATTTCCTCCATATATATATATATGTAAGGGGGCCACTTAAGCATACCAGTCTCGGTGTAGCCTGCCTTCTGGTTTGTTCAGCCCAGAGGCAGAGACTTGGCACAACTCTCCATGTTCTGTAGGTAGCCCAGCAGTGGGCTGATTATGCCACTGAGATGCTTCCAGAAAAAAGCTTTTTCCCCCCCATATATATATATACAAAACTGTGTACCCACCCCTGAGCTATGGGGATGGATATGGTTCTTCTTGCCCTCCTATGCTATTGCTGCTGACCAAGAGACAACACGAAACGTGAAGGGACATAGCCCCAGTATGTGTCAGGCCTGTGGATACCAGTGGAGAAGATATGTGTTCTGACTCCCTGTCTTTCCCTTCCAGAGTGGCTTCCAGCCAAGTACTTACCTGGATGTGCACCCCAAATTCCACCAGGGCTACCCAATCGCCGCAGCCAGCAACATCCAAGCCATGCCTCCCCCTCGTCAGCAGTATGGAACAGGGCAGAACACCTACACCATCGTGACCAGCGAGGATGGAGGAGTCTTTGGCAAAGGTGGGGGCACCTGCAGCGTTCAGCAGACAGTGGGCTTCATTGCCCAGCACAAAGTAGACTTTTACCACAGCTACCCTGGCAGTGTGGAATATCCGGGCACAAAGACAAATGACAGCTGTAACTTTCACCACTCGGCCACCATGGGGGCTCCTTTCCCAACCACCGCTGGCCATCATCTCTATCATTCCTAAGCACTGTGGATGTGGGGTACTTGGGCACCCAGGAATCAAAGCATTATTCTCATCTCTCCCTTTGCTATTCGTGTGCTCGCCAACTCAGCAGCGTTATGTAGCTAGAACCTGTTTCGGCATCCAAACACGTGCCTGCAAGCATGCACAGACACACAGACATGCACAGACACACAGACTTGCAGATACCTTTTTTCCCATGTAGGTACATACAGCCCTTGATTTGTATGCCCTTACACACGCACCTTTCTTTATTGGCACAGACAAACAAGTTCCCTTACAGGAAGAACCAAGATCTGGCTGCCTAGATTATCCCCTGGATCTTCTCAATTCTTGTAACTTGTCTCAGAGAAGGCACAGACTCCTTTGGGGATCTCTTTTTTACATATCACTGTACAGTTGTCTATAATAACAAATGAAGTCATGGGCTGTATGGAGAGGTGCTGGTCACACTGGTGCCTTCACTGAAGTTGAAGAAGTTACTGTCACACACAAGGCATCCACCTGATGGTTAGACCACCAGTTCTGTAGGTCAGCCACAAGGTTTAGAATTGATGAAGCATCTAGTGAAAGGAGATGTGACAAGTGGCTTGCAGAAAGGCTGGTAAGATGGTAAGCATCAACATGGTAAATAAGCCCTTTGTTCTAGCCTGTATCTTTCTGTGCCTCCCCTCAAGAAAACTAAGCAGTGTGTTCAATTGGCAAATAATAAAAATTTTTAAGATGGATTATGTATTTTTCTGTATCTTTTATTCACTGTAATAGAGCATTGCAATATAAAATCCAGATGGAGCATAAATAGCCATAGCAACCGTATGCTGTTACTGTACAGGTGTTACAATAATTGTTGTTATTGATTTGACTCTGAAACTATAAATGGAGATTTTTCTGTGTTATTAGTGGATCAGCTTCGTGACTTTTGGCAACGCCAGATATCTAGAGTCAGAGGACGATGTGAGTAACTACCACTCACCTTAAGATTTTCTCCTACTCAGCAACATTTCATACTGGGACTAGCTAAAACATAGAGGTACCATCATTTCTAAACTTAATACTGCATAAGTGTACCTAAAACCGGACGCGTGTATCAAGGTATATTTAGTAACAGAGCCCCAGTTCACTGAGTCACGGGTTTTCTATCACTCTGATGATGACAATGACTTTATCTTAATGCAATGAAGTGGCTGTCATGGTTAAAAAAAAAAAAGCTTAAAATGAAGGCAATTATGTCTGCAACTAGTGTAATAAGAGGCATGGTCTTTTATTGGCAAAGTTGCTTTATGTGCATCATAGCTGTTTGTTCCCACCTCCACTCCCTCTTGCAGCCACACTTCGACCCTTTGGCTGTTCAGCTACACCATTTATAGAGCTGCGACTGTAAACTGTATAATCAGCATGATTTGGGAAAAAATAAGGTCTTTTGGAGGGCTAATTTTTAAGTCATATCATTTTGGAGATCCATTTTAACGCACAGCCCAAACACAAACGTCCTACACCCAGCAAGTTAAGCTTGGGAAAGACACGTTCTTGCAACCACTGCACCACCAGAGGGGTGGGGATCGATTGAGTTAGCTTAACTGAAAGGTGCTGGCTAACATCTGAAGGTGGACTACAATAGCAGCAATTATCAAGGCTCTCACATGAGTGGGAGGAGTTTGTACAGCTCCTTTGGAGTCAACAGTGCTGCTACTAACCTGATTATCCTTCCCATGCTACCCCATAAAACGTTGCTGTAGGTGAAAATGTTGAGCCTGTGACTGTTACTCACTAATAATTCTCTGGAAAAGGAGTCACCTGTCATGCCCTGTTCCTTCAGGGATGTTTGAGGACAGGCAGGATCACGGTGTGAAGTCGCTGGGACTGGCTTGCAGAAGGATGCTTGGCTGTAAGAGCAACAGTTGTGATTTCACTACTACTGACCTTCAGCAAAGCTGTGCTAACAACCACCACCAAATCCTGCAGTTTCCTCAAGAAACCCACAATATTTTTCTAGGGGCCATCATTCCAAGACAGGGCTTATTGCCACAGGTGGTTCTGGGGACCAAAAGCCTGCAGCAATTCAAACGGGCAAGTAAGGAACTTCCAGGAAGGGAGTTCACCCAATGCCTGCATTCCCCTAATATCAGCAGGAATGCAGCTCCTGTTACAGGCAGCCCCTGAGCCACTGCCAGCCAGAGGGGGACACTTGGGACTTGCTTTTTCTTCTGGTGCCTTCTGCAAACGTCTAGCCATGACTCGGAAGGCTCTTGGGGCTCACCCAAGGCAGCAGTCATGATGTTGTAATCTATAAAAGATTTAGTGATCCAGACACAGCCCAGCTGCTAGGGACACACCTCGTCTGTGAGCAGATGGGCTTGCACTAAATGTGAGAAATTAATTCTAGCCTGGTTGTGAAAGAGATTCACAGATCTGACCTGAGGGTGCTCTTCAAAACTTTGGACAGCATGAAGATAACACGGCCCTCACAGGAAAGGAAAAACTTTTTTTTTTTTTTTATTGTTTAAGATCAGGGCCATGATTTTGTGCCCTTTGTGCTTTTTGACAGCTCAGCCAAGATGCTGCTGGCCACTGGTGATGGGCCAAGCAGATGCGTGGCAATGCTTTACTAAAAATTTTCAAAACCCTTTTAGCTCAGCATTTGAGTGATGCAGCGTAGTTAGAAAGCTAAATATAATGCTTACACATGCCTGTAGGGAAGAACCTATTAAAGCAAAGATCTGTGTGCCTTTAATCTGTGCCGGAGAGACAACTGTGGCTAGGAGCCCTTGCTCATGGGCCACTCAGAAGAAACTTGTAGGCAGCAGCTCGTAAAACATCGCTGCAGGCCATGTTGACGCAGAGAGCAAGGAATGAGATGACTTGCTGTACTTGCTTGGCATTTTGCCTATGGGACAGCAAAGGCTGGAACCCAGTGAACTGGAGAATAAAACCCTGATCTACATAGTCTGCACTAGATCTAATTTATTCTGTTTGGGTGGGATTCGCTCCACCACTGGACCTAGCATTGACTGACTGGAGTTGGGACGCTGCAGAGATGCTATCAGAGTGCAGTGTATTTCCACAAGCTACAGTATGTGTAAGAACTCTGTGTGAGCTTACAGCTTGACCCTAAAAAGATTTGCTGGCAAGAAGAATCGTGTTTGCAGGGCGCAGAAATCACTGTTACGCGGCACAGTCACCAGAAGCAACAGTCCTAATGGGAGGTGCAATGTAACCCAGCAGAAAAAGCTTTTGCTGACATGTACTTACTTAAAATCATAGAATCACCCCTTCGGGAAGTATGAGTCCGGAGGAATTAGTTGCAGCTCCACCATGTTGGTAGTAGCGCTGCAATTACCTGTGCAGCTGTTTTCACACAGTGAGGTGACTCAGGCACATCGAGGTAACAGGGGATCTCATGAGACTGTGGAAAGGCAGAGCCCTATTCTCCATCCCACAGCTTTTAGAAACCCTTCTTGACCTACTAGCACTCCTTTCCAGCCCGCTTGCCAAAACACCAACAACAGCCCACTCTGCGTGTTCCCTCCAGCTCTGCAACTTCACGTGCTTGCAACCCAGGCTGAGCAACCAGGGGATAACACACCCACCAAGGAATGCTCTGTTGCTGCAGAAGTCCCGTGGTAAATACAGTAATGCAGACCACAGCACGCAGAGCAAGGCACCTCAATCCCAGTATTACGTCCTTAAACGTCCCAGCAACAATATCTGTTTCTGCAGGAGCCAGCTGAGCTCTGGCTACGTGCTTCACCCTTGTGAGAGAAACGTGGAAGAGAAACATGCCCAAGCAACACAGGTAACCCGTAGCGAGCACCCCTTCCATCACTCTGCCAAGGCTTGGGCACATGGTACATTTCTTTAAGTTTGCATCTTAAAAAAAAAGAACACAAAACAAACACAACTAACCAAAAACAAACAGACACCATGACCCCCTTCCTCCCCCCCCAAACCTGGAAACTGGTAATTTTAAAGCTGAAAGAGCAAGGGTTTAGTTATCTATGATTTTTATAGGTATATGCTTCAGCTTTGGTTTTTTTTTTTTTTCCCCAAGGGAATTGTTAAAATTAACGCTACTACTAGGTCGTGACTCAGAACTCATCCAAGCTGATGTTGGGAAATGAGAGATAAGTCACTCTGAGAAAGGCTCTGTGTTGTAATACAGGAAACCGTGTGAACCTGGCATTTCCCCCTCTTCCAGGTCAGATTTACTTTTTTTCTCCTGTTGAAGGTTGGCAACCCGCACGTGGACAACTCAGCCCGTCCTCCTTCTCCAGAAGCTCAAACCTCCGCTCCCTCTCCTTCCTGCACATCTTGCACCTCACCCCAGGAAGCAGATCCTTGCAGTATTGCAAAAGGAAAGCAGACATGCTTTGGCACCCACACAAGCAGGTTCTGGTCAGCAAAGACCCTGTGACAATTTGAGCCTGGGCAGTCAGCCACCAGTTTAGCTAAATTGTCTTTCAGACAGATGAAAAGCTTTGGTGGTGTACGGTCCTTTAAAGAACCTGGGATTAAACCCAAACAGCTAATATTGCTCCCAGCTGCTAAGAGGAGATAAATGCAGCCTTGGGGTAAAGCAGGGAAAGAAAGGGGTTTTTTGTTGTTTCAGCACTGGAGGCAGGATTCAGTTACTTACACACAAACTTGAGGTTAGCACAAGAACTCCAGAGCTGCAGACTCAATGAAGCAGAACTTACCTGGTCTAGTGGGAGGTGTCCCTGCCCATGGCAGGGGTGTTGGAAATCGATGGTCTTCAAGATCTTCTCCAACCAGAACCATTCTATGATTCTATGAATTCCAGACCTCTCACTGTGACCTTCTGGAGCAGCAGGAGGTGGCCACAGAATCTCAAAAGACACTTTCTTTTGCCCCTACCCTCATACTTAAACATCTGTTTTGAAGCATTGTGGCTTAAGGACTAATTATAGGGCTGCATATTACTGCAAGCAGCAGCTAGTAGTCCAGTAGCCGACCCCTGGAGCCCCCTCTTGCACAAGGCAACACACCTGCATGTTAAAAACAAGGCTGATGTGAACTAGTCCTTCCAAGCAGTTGCTTGATCCTACTTCTGGAAGAAACACAGTAGGGTTACTTTTTTTCCCCCCTCCTTTTCTCAGTACTGCTGGTCTAACCTGGGCAGAATATCCATCCTCGCACCAGGCTGTTCCCACGCAAGCTGGCGACACAGTTTCAACATTAAAATAAAGTAATTTATTTTCAATTCAAACAAGTTTGTCAAGAACATTGAGCAGAAGCAAAGTAATAAAAGACAACATGCATAAAACATAAAACATGCTTGAGATCACTGCAAGAAAACACAGCTTAAGAAACAACATTGTGGAACAACAACAGATGTTCACCTCCTTTGCAGTGATAACTACAACATACAACCCTTGTGCAGGCATTTGAAGACAGGGTTGCAGAAAAAATTGTGCACTAACCATAAAAAAACAACAACCAACAAACCTCTACAACAGAAGTATTTATGCTTTTACCATCTCACTTATACTGGCCAGCTCATGCCATTTCGTATTCTTGGGCAGTGGCAGACTGGACTCTGCAATTCCACATCTTGTAAGAAAAAAAAGACAAAACAACAAACCAGTCAAGTTTTACATAGGTTGGAGCCGACTTCAATTTCTCCGTACTGGAAATGATTCAGTTATTTAAAAAAAATGAAACCGAAAATTTTAATTGGCATTTTCCTCATTTTGTCTAACTAGGTTTCTCTAAACTTCTCGCCTCCCCCAGAGCTTGGTTACTTATGCCAGATGCGGCAGCCAGTGCCATTTTTCAGCAGAACAACACAGAAGAGATCCAACTAAGCCCTGGGGAAGGGACAAAAATCCTATTCGTTTACACTTCTAAAACTGGGATTAGAATAGAGCGTGGGGAACCATCCTGCTCTAGCCCCATGGATGACAACTCCACCAGGACCCAACAGGATTCCCCACTCCCAACATCCAGGTTCCACGATAAGTGACATTAAACATAACCTTTAAAATAACCGAGTCCTCTACCTGGCTGCCCACCTCTACCCCAAGGAAAGCTGCACTGTAGTGGTGCTGTGTTTGTGAAGTGCTAGGGGACCATCAGGTATGCATAAGCAGACTGTTCTCACCACTCCAAAGATGACTCCACACAGCCACTCCTCACACTTCCCACAAGGACACTCTGGGCTACCCTCTGCTGCAATCTGCAGGTTGGGACAAGCCAACAGTCTCTCAACAGAGAGATGTAGAAAGGCATGATCTAAACTGGGTGGGGATAGTCCCAGAACTGAAGCAGCTGACAGGCTCAAGTATGTTAGCAGCTTTGGAAACCTGTCTCATGTGAAGTATGGGCAATGTTCTACCCCACTTCTCTCTTCTGCTCCTCCCCCTCCTCTCAATTGCCCTACATACACAGAAGGGCAACAGACAAGGGGTAGGCAGGTACTGACCCCCCCAGGAGGGGTTGCTGAGAGTAACTGGATCAAGTCATCTGAAATCAGATGATCTCATACAGCTTTTCAGTGAGGGAGGAGAGGATGCAGATGAAGAGCCTATCAGCAGTTAACTGACTGAGGTAGCTACAGAAATAGGCAGGACAGCAGGAAAGATTCTGGGCAACAACAGGGTATATCTAGCAGAAATATGCTGAAATACAGGGTTTTCTTCTCCAGCAAAGCTCTGCTGCAAGACACAGAGGGCAAGGACCTGAGATCACTTGCTAAAGAGGCAGCAGAGGAAGGTGGGACTTGGCCAGCAGACGTGGACCTTTACCACCTCTGCTGCTCCTGGCTGTGGCATTGCACGTTCCCCTCCATGAATGAGGTTCCATCTATCTGCACATAAAACACCCTTGCCAAGGGTTAGCCATGGACAGACAGGTGTCTTTAAACAGAAAACTGGCCCAAGGCAGCAGGGTGCCGAGCCCCACCAATGGTTAAAACAGAAGTAAAACAGAGGAGGGGCAAGAGAAAGGAATAAAAACTGGATCCCTGAGTCGAAACCCCATGAGAGAAAACAGGAGAAGGGAGGAAAAAATACTTAGGTCTAAGATTCATAACTGCTCTGGGTCCCCAGGGGATGCCAAGTGGGCTGGTACTGATGCCGTACAGGAGAGCTCGAGAAAGGCATGACATTGTCAGAGGTGCTCTGGAAGCTGTAGGTGTCTTCTGGCTCCAGGCTGACATAATCCACGTCAGCAGGGTAGCCGTGATAGAAGTTCATCTGCTGGCTTAATAAACCCACAGCTTGCTGGGTATTGCAGCTTGTCCCACCTTTTCCAAAGAGCCCCTCATCCTCCACTCCGGCCATGAAGTACAGGCTCTGCCCATTCCCACAAGTCTGGCCACCACTGTAAGCCTGGTGCACGTTGGTCACAGCCTGAAGGTTTCTGCTGGCACAGACGGGGAAGCCCTGGTGAAACGTGGGGGTTATATCCAGATAGGCAGCCTGATGAAACCCATTCTAGGAGAAATGGAGAAGGCCGTTCAGTAATGCAGAGCACCACCCCAACCGTGCCCGTTCTTTGGGATGGGTCCCTCCTTTCTCCCCCCACACCAAACAATAGTGTATCTTTTTGTACTCCTCGTCCTCACTATAGACTAATAATAGCAGAGAGGACAAGATCTTTAATTGGTGATCTCCAACTCAACATGCCTGGAAGCACCATGCTGGGGAGAAAACCAGCATAGGTAGCTTTGCTGGCCCTCTTCAGCTATTTTGTTTTCTATCTAGCCTCAGCTGAGGGAGAGGTGGACTGGAAGGGAAGCTCTTTCAGTGCCAGGGCAGGCTTACCATAGGTGGCACTGTAAGCATTATTATGAGAAATACACCTGGTTTGGTAATATTGAGTCCTCTGCATCGCTCAAGTTAACAGGTTGGACACGATACACATCTACCCAGACTGGAGGAACGGACTGGTGGTGATGGGGAAAGTGGGAATTATCTCACCTGTGGTAGATACAGTCCCTTTTCTACCCACTGGCTTTCCTTCTGGCAACGTTTAAATTTCATCCGTTGATTCTGAAACCATGTTTTCACCTAGAAGTGATTAAGAAAGGACACGGGGCATTAGAAATTAACACTCAAGAGTTTAGTACACATCCTAAAGATGTTTTGCTTTCCACTACAGTCCAGCTTCTGCTGGGCTTTTAATACCGTATATAATTTCAGCAGCCAACAATATGCAGCAGACCCAGGTGGCCACAGAATCGGAATGGAGACTTGAAAACTAACACTCTTACTCCTCAGATCACCACGGGGTCTTTCACGGCACCAAAAACCCCTACCTGAAAGACAGGCCAGGACGACTGCAGAAACACATCTTGTACAGCAGCAGCACCTCGCTGCTGCTGCCAAGATCAGTGCTGACTCAGGAGTGAGTCATTCCTTCAGTAGCTGGTGGGGCAAGGACCTTCTCTCTAGGGAGAGACCCAGGTGCCACTGACTAAGAAAGGCTGCTTGTACAGCAATGCCAGTATCTGGCTTTTCACATTCAGAGACAGCACACGTCCCCACAGAAGACTAAGCAGGCTCTGCATCGCCCTGCTCTGTATGTGCTTTCAAACACCTGCAAGGAGTGGGTGAATAGTGCTGGAACCAAACATAAGAGGAAGCCTGAGTCATAAGTTTTCACGCCCTCTGCTCTCTCATATAAGCAATGGCGTAAACAAGACCACGAAAGAAACTCATCTCTGGAGTCTAAGAAAAAACACCCCAAAAAACCCTGATCACAAGACCAGTTCACACCAGGGATGCAACTCAGCTGCTCAGAGCAAGATGTTCACCTGCTTGTAGGTGAGCCCCAGGGCAGCAGCCAGGTCCCGGATCTGTTGTGGGCTGAGGTACTTCTGGGTCTGGAACCACTGGTGCAGGGTTTGCAGCTGCTGCTGGGAGAAAGCTGTTCGGCTCTTGGCCTTCTTCACCACACCCTCACCTTCCTTCTTGACGGAGGGATGGGGAGACGGGCACTGTGCGGTGGGGCTAGTGGCAGAGTCAGGGGTGTACTGGGTGAGTGTCCCAGAGCTGGAGGAAGCCGGGGAGACATCTGAGAAGAGAGAGAACTGGGGTCAGGCAGAGAAGACTGAAAAGACTTCGAAGTCCAGCTTCTGGGGAAAATTTTAGATTGCAGGGGCTCCGCCGCGCAGGGAAGCGGGAACAGGTATCCCTGGGGCAGAGGATCCATGACCCCTCTCTCTGCTCCCACCTCTACCCCAGGGATACCAGGCAGCAGATCCAAGACCCCTTTTTCTGCTCCCACCTCTGCCCCAGGGATACCAGGCAGTGGATCCAAGATCCAAGGGGTCTTGGATCCAAGACCCCTTCTCTGCTCCTACCTCTGCCCCAGGGATACAGGGATACCAGGCAGTGGATCTGAGACCCTCCTCTGCTCCGACCTCTACCCCAGGGATACCAGGCAGAGGATCCAAGACCCCTTCTCTGCTCCCACCTCTGCCCCAGGGATACAGAGATGTCAGGCAGAGGATCCAAAACCCCTCTCTCTGCTCCCGCCTCCTCCCCAGGGATACCAGGCAGCGGCTCCAAGACCCCTTCTCTGCTCCTACCTCTGCCCCAGGGATACAGAGATGTCAGGCAGAGGATCCAAAACCCCTCTCTCTGCTCCCGCCTCCTCCCCAGGGATACCAGGCAGCGGCTCCAAGACCCCTTCTCTGCTCCCACCTCTGCCCCAGGGATACAGAGATGTCAGGCAGAGGATCCAAAACCCCTCTCTCTGCTCCCACCTCCTCCCCAGGGATACCAGGCAGCGGATCCAAGACCCCTTCTCTGCTCCCACCTCTGCCCCAGGGATACAGGGACGTCAGGCAGAGGATCCGAGACCCTTCTCTGCTCCCACCTCTGCCCCAGCGATACCAGACAGGGATCCAAGATCCAAGGGGTCTTGGATCCAAGACTCCTTTCTCTGCTCCCACCTTTGCCCCAGGGATACAGGAATATCAGGCAGAGGATCCAAGACCCCTTTCTCTGCTCCCACCTCTGCCCCGTCCCGCCTGGATCCAGGGGCCGCTTCCAGCGGGACAGCCGTCGGGGCAGCGCCCGTCGCATCCTCTCCGGGGCGAGCGACCGGCCGGCAGCACCGGCATCTCCCTCCACCCCCCGGGGCCGGGAGGGACACAAGGGACACAACCACCCCTTCCCAAGTCGAGAGCAGCCCCCTCTCGCTCCCCCGCCATCAGCCGGGCCCGGACGCCTACCTGTGTGGGCGGTGGGCGTCTTCTCCGCCGCGGGGAAGGGGAGGGCACCCGCCGGCCCTGGAGCCTCCTCGACGGGCACGTTGTCCATGCTCCCTGGGGAAAACCAGTAATAATCCCCATA